AAAAAAACTTGTGAAAATAAGAATATATAAAAATTTGGATGAAATTAGCCCTTATTTTAGATATGGTCAAATTTTTGTAAAATTTTGTTTCGAATTTTAGTATAAGGAAGTAAGCAGACTGCAAAAATTAAATATAAATTACCAGCAATATAAGGTAAGCTGACGTTAAGACGTTTCACCTCATTAAATTGTACAAGTCATTTCCTGACTCGGAAAACCCGCAAAAAGGGTAAGAAGACGCCACAATGAAAAAGAGGAGAAAAGAAAGGTGTATCTTGTTTTGGAAGGCAGATACACAGTAGATGTGCTGCCAGGCTGAACCTGGGGTACTAGGATAGGTGGTGGTGTAATGGTAACATATTGCGTCCGGACGTGAAGAGGAGTGGTTCTATTCCCTCCCGGTCCGGAACAGTTTTCGAAAAAGGGCTCTGTTCATGGCATTTCCGGCACCGTGAGTGGACTCCGACGGTTATGGCATAAATTTGTGGAAATTTTTAAAGATGCGGAAATTATTTGAGATACTGATAAAGAAATCTGTGTTTTAGCCGTTAATTCCAGGCCATTTAATCGTTCGTGGAAAAATGAATTGAGCAGGCATAGTCCTGGTGAATTTCCCGATGGTACCATTGTCACGCTACTCGTAGAAGACCCAAAATTAACCCGACCGCAGAGGAAGACGAAACCCAATGAATCAGGTCACTCTATTGCGAAGACACTCAATGTGAATGATTTACACCTCCCGTTAAATCTATTTTGGGACTTCGAGATTCGGAAAACGGTATTTTTTTCTGCAGACCTTATTTATCTTATAACCAGGTTCTTCTGTTGCCTGATTTATTGAATTTTTGCCTTTTTTAGGTTCTTGAAAAGAAAATTAGTGAAGCAGATTTGCAAAAGAAGAGAAGTTCACAACTGAATCCGGTGAAAACATCTGAGGCTAAGGTTTTTTTTTACATCAGCGTTCTTGTTTGGTGGTCTACGGTGCAGTAACTAATAATCATAGACGGATCTGGGGGAAAGACCCCCCCCCCCTTTGCTCTCGCCAGACAGGCACTATTGCTAGAAAAGTCCGGGTTTAAAGCTAAAACTGAAGAAAATTTTCTTCCGCACCTCCCGTGCCTCACCCCTCCCCCCCGGAAGCCCCACTCACCCTCTCTTTGCTCGTCGCCGCACCAGTGGGCTCATTTCCCCTGCTTCCTCCCGGTCGTCGCTAGGTCACAGGCCCCACTTCCTCCTCCTACTCCGCCTTCCACTCGTCGCTCCCCGCCCCTCTCTGTTCCCCCAGGAAGCCACCTTGGGTCCGCCTAAGCCAATAACGGATCGGAACCCTTTAATCTTGGCTAATTTCTTCATGCATGCCGTAGCTTTAGTCTCTAATATTTCCAAAAGTACTCACTGTTACCTAGTAATAACTACTCTTCAAATAGTGCTTATAATTCTACTTGAACCTAATGTATAACTTGCCAGTCATTATCAATAGGTTTTTTCTTCACTGGTTTTATTCAGTTTTTTCAGGTCCCAGTAGTGATAGTGATGCGGAATACAAGAAGCGGGACGACAGATTCATTCACAGGCCTAGACCTGATCGTTCCATCTGGTTTTGGTGATTTTTTTTGCTAGCATTTTTAGCATACATACGTCAAATAGGGAATGGGTACCAGTCGTGGGTTTGGTGCAGCTCATAGGCGGATCCAGAAGGGCGAGAGGTCACTTCCCTCCCCCTCTCCGCTCCTCTTCTCCAGCCATTGTTGCTAGGAGCGAGGCGGGAAAGTGAAAGGGGAAAGGAAAGAAAGCCCATATGTTTTTCTTGTTCTACAAAGCTTTGATAATATCAGTACACCAAGTTAGAAACTGTTCGATCCTGGGCTACATGCTTCCAGTTGGTATTTGCCGCATCTGTTCTTTATGAGTAA